TGCCAGCTCAGGAGGGAGGTCCTTATCGCTTCAGCTTCTATTCCTGGGTGATCTTCATATGGCTTGACATTTCTCTTCCCTCATATCTGCCTCTTTTTTTAATTTTAATTTTTTTATTTTCTACAGAATAAAAGTTTTATTTCAAAAATCTTATTTAATGTGAATAGACTTTATTTAAGGAACTTTACATGTTGTTTTTTGATTCAATGTCCCATCAACCTAGGACTTCTTAGTTCCTCCAGAGCTTGTATCTTCAAGATAGCTCTAAAAAAATTAGTTATTGGTTAAACTTTGACCCATCTATTTTCCCATATGAATACCATCAGTGAATATCATCTTGTGTCTTCTCAAGAAAAAGCACAGCACTGCTGAGTGACTATAGCATTCCGAGGAGAATTTTAATCGTTGGTCACAGCATCAAGAGCTATTGGTGTATCTGCCTCATTTGCTTGCTTATTTAATCTCTTTTCCATCTTAAAAGAGATAGACTCTAGATATATCTTATACTGATCCTGCCTCATTAACATAAAAAAGATATCCCATTCCCAAATGGGAGTATACCCACAGGCATTTTTGTTGTTAGGTGCCATTCAGTTGGTTCTGACTCATATGAACCCTATGTACAACAGAACGAAAAACACTGCCTGGTCCTCCACCAACCTCACAATCATTGTTATGCTTGAACCCATTGCTGCTGCCATGGTGCCAGTCCATCTCATTGGGGTCTTCTTCTTTTCTCTGACCCTCCACTTTACCCATCATAATGCCCTTCTTCAGGGATTGGTCCCTCCTGATATTATCTCTGAAGTATGAGAGACAGTCTCCCCATCCTGACTTCCAAGGAGCATTCTGATTGTACTTCTTCCAACACAGATTGGTTTGTTCTTTTGGCAGTCCGTGGCACTTTTAATATTCTCTTCCTACACCATAACTCAGAACACAGCAGAACACTGTCCGATCCTGGGCCAACCTCACTACTGTTGCCATGCTTGAGTCCATCGATGCTGCCACTTGGTCAATCCATCTCACTGG